TCCTGTGTGATAGCAATAAAGTTAGGTGAAAAAAAAAAAATTACATTGATAAAAAAATAAAGGTGATTAAAAAGTAAAAAAAGAAAATAATTTAAAAAAGATAACTATAAAAAGTAAATTATAAAAAAGTAAAGATAAAAATTAAAAAATATAAGAAATTGAATAAAAAAATAAAGTGATAAAAATAAAGAAACAGTAACAAAAATTTAAACTAGCCCCGCCCCAATGCCAGGTTGCACAATACGCCCCCCGCCATCTGGTTGCCATTCTCAATTGATGGGGGGGGGCGTATTGTGGAACCCGGCCTTGGGGCGGCAGGGAGAGTAAATCTGGCCCTGGCTGCACTGTAAAGTCTTGGTGTGCAAATAAGCAAAAAAGGACGGTCTGAAAGGATGAAACCAGGAGTCGCAGAACCTGCATGCATCTGTGAAGACAGATTCTGCTCTGAAATGATTCGGATCTTAAGTCACGGAGTCTTCTGTTTTGCTTGCGCAAAAAAAAACCTGGTTAACCTAGTACCCAGAATCAGGAATTCCAGCTGTTGCGTCAGTACCAGAGAATTTTGCAGAGCTTTGGTTGGTCAGTAAATCTACAGTGAGCAAGGAGTGATCTGGACACTGGTCAGCAAGTAGTCAATTACGTCTTGAGAGGTAATCTCTGAAATGCCGGTTTGCAGCTGTACCAGAACCTTGACATTTACTCTGGGAACCACGGCTAATCCAAAGAAGTGCCACAAATTGATACAGATCCCCTCTACTGCAAAACGCAGAAAGGGATTGAGAACCAGAAATAGTGATAAGCAATTCAGAATTCCACTGGGGTCAGAATGCCTTGCAAGGGAAACCAGCACAGAAGAATAGATTCTACACAAAGTTTGGTGGTGCACACAGGTGTCCCGACTTCCCAAAATAGGACAAACCGATTTGCTGCACTTAAGTACAGTGTGCATGTTTGAATATAAAAAAGAAAAAAACAGTAACTTTACAGATAAGCAAACCATTTTCCATCTTAAGGGAATGTCCAAGATTATTGGCAGATTGACTAAGGGTGGTGTGGTCCTATTTTTCACAAATTCCCTGGGAAGAGGATGGGGGGAAAAACAAAAACAGGCTGCTTCCACTCTAGAAAGATAATTAAACTGTTCATGATTAGGAAAGACTATAGCAGTGCATCTAGGCCTAAGAATCCCCATGGCCTGTCTGGGAAGCTAAGGCCGAGTTCCAACACCTTGGGCAGTTGAGATAGGAAGCCTTTGGAAACAGGAGGTAGCGCTTGTGAAGCAAAAACACTAGCCATGGTCATCCCAGAAAGATCCAGATAAAGGATGAGCAGTGGTAGCAAAAATGGATAGCTCCGAAGGGGACCTGCGTCAGTATGACTCAGCCTGAGCACTATTAACCCTTTTGCTGCCAAGGACGTACGGCATACAGAGGTACAAAAGTGCTCCCGGCTGGCCAGCTCAGTATGCCGTACGGACCTGGCATTTACAGTTCTACTATCCATGGAGCCCCGCTGCTGATATTTAACGATCCCTCTGTTTACTGGGGACACATAGTACATAGTAGTTATGAATGAACAGGCTGTGATTTACATCACAGCCTGTTCATTCAAGAATTTATGAATGGGGACTAGCATTCACTACAGAGGCTCCTCCCCATTCATAAACTACTGATAGTAAGATAGTTTTACGATTAGTTTGTGAATGAATGAGAAGCCTCTGTACTGAGTGCTTCCCATTCATTGAGTGCTGGGGCTGCAGAAAAAGACATTGAGGACTCTATGTCCTCAATTTCTTTTTCTATTTCAAAAGGAAAATGTCAGGGGTCTATTAGACCCCAGATATTTCACTGCAGCCCCAAGGGTCCTGGGGCCAAAGCTAGCCGAAGGATCAGCCGAAGCTATGGCTAGATCCTTTGGCAGCTTTGTGAATAACCCCCATAGCACTATGTGTCCCCAGTTATAAATGAACAGGCTGTGATTTACATCACAGGCAAATTAAAAAATACAATAAACAATAAAATTTTGAAAAAGGTGTAAAAAAACAAAACTAATAAAAAAAAAAAAAAAGCACAACCCCTTCCTCCCCCCACATACACACACATTGTGGTGCACACCATGCACATGCGCTGCATTGCGTTTAGAACGTATCGCAGTGCATGATCTTTTATTTATTTATCTTTTTTCTTAAACCCATTAAATTAACTGTGGCAGCGCATGGCAAAGCTTTGTGACTCATTGCCATGCGTTGATACCTTGTGTTGCAATTAAATATACACCTGTATAATTTTATCACAACACAAACACCAAAACAATTTTTTTACATAAGTCGATTTACAGTTTTGCATACCTTCATTTTTTTTACCTTTTCACAAAAAGGCGCAATTACAAATTTGCTAATATTTGTTATTTATTAACTCAATACAGTTTTATCTTTTAGCTTTAGTCAGAAAATAATTTTTTGTGCACGGATACTGATTTTGGTGTGTTTTAACAATTGAATTGTGTATTTGTATTGGTTTAATATTAATTTGAGAAACATTCGTGCAATTATCGCAGGGCCTACAAATTTAGTATCACCATCTTTTTATTCTACCGGGCCTGCGCTTTCAGAAAATATGGTTTGGGGGGTATTTTACAAACGCTAGCAACCCAGCAGTTGAAAATCAAATCAATAGGAAAAAAATTGCAAAAATGGCTTGGCCAGCTGATTTGAAAAATGTTCGAGAGCTTGGCAGCGAAAGGGTTAAGCTTGAGAGTGAACACAGAAAAGACAGAGTGCAAGGTCGGCTGTGGGGTTCTGCCCGTCTGAAAATGGGGACTGGTCCTTTTTCTGGTGTTGGACACATTGCTAAAATTAGGCAAAATTTGTTAGGGTTCTTGCAGTCTGTAGCTGGGGTGGTCGAGCACAAGTGAAAGACAGATAGGCACTAGGATGCACTAGGATGCCTGGCAATTTTAAGTACTTTAGGCGATTGATGGCTAAAAAGCTGCTAGCTGTTGTGGTGGTGGTCCGTCAGCTAACCATTATATCACCACCTCATCAATCCTGTCCCTCTGGTTTAAAGGATAATTCAATACATTATAAAGCAATGGCTCCAGCTATTGAGGACTAAAAATCCCAGCAATACACTATACAGTAATGCAGAATGGCAACTACCTATAGAGGACTACAAATCCCAGCAATGCATTATACAGCAATGGAGAATCCCAACCGGCTATAGAGGACTACAAATCCCAGCAATACATTATAAAGTAATGGAGAATGGCATCTGGCTACAGAGGACAAATAGAGAATGGCATCCGGCTAGAGGACTACAAATCCCAGCAATAAATATTACAGCAATGCAGAATATGAAGCTACAAACTATGTTGCTCTGGGTTCGCCGCCAGAGGATTATGCAGGCTTTCAGGAGGTTGTGCGGGCTCTCACGAGGCAATTACCTGAAATGCCACGTTTATCTGAATGTAAATAAAAGATGGATCGATAGAGTGGACCTCTGTGTGCGTGTGACCTTATCACTTCTTCCAGTTTTACAGCACCATCCGTTGACCATTTCAGCACCCATTGAAGCTACACACTGGTGTGTTTGGAGTGCAATGGGACATCTCATCCAGAGTTCAGCCTATTCACCACTCTGGGAAGTCTTCATTGACAACCTGTGATTTAGGGGTCAAAGCATGGCACTGGGTCAGGTGTGATCACCAGATGCCCAGTATGACAAGCCATGCAGAATGGTCATACTGTAGGTAGCTAAAACTGGGGGTTCAGTACGTCATGTATGCAGCATGGGCATCAAAACAAATTTCCAAATCTGCTAGTCTCGTTGGACACGGAAGACAATACGGGTACAATGCTGCCTTAACAGCAGCAGTTGATACTTAAGCTCGAAAATCTTGATCCATTAGAGCTAGGGAGAGAAATTCTACATGTTCAGGATACCCAGCAAAACAGTTTGGCAAACCTTAGATGTGGCAAAACCTTATTCTGGGTTAATGTGTTCAATGCAGAAAAAACACAATCACTGCGCTCGGAGTATCAATTATACCATTCAATCGTGATAGACCAGCTGCAACACTGTCAGTGAAACGTAGCGATTGCAAATATGTTGCACTAAGTCTTGTATCAATCTATTAAAATCACCCTCTACGCACTACTAAGCACTTAAAACATGCAAAGATGCATGTATATGAGCTTTTCATGCACTTTCACTGACGTCTATGGGGCCAAAAACACACCGTAGCACTGGAAGAATAATGTGATTTCCATTGTTGTGCAGCGCGATAGCAGATACAGCACAAACTGCACTGGTGTGAACAGGGCCAAAGTGTAACTCAAACAATCTCTATATAATCTCCCTGCATTGACTAAGTTGTCTAAAAAAATATGGTTCAAATGTAGAATGCTGAATGTCAAAAGTATAGAAATGCTAAAGGAAACAAAAACTTACATTTTATCATCTGACTTATCTAGGCCATAAGCAAGGGCAGCAGCAGTTGGTTCATTAATTACTCGCAAAACATTCAATCCAGCAATCTGCCCAGCATCTTTTGTTGCCTAAAATGGTATTAAACATATAAAATTTAACAGCGGTTTAAAAAGTACAGAATTGCACATTAAAAAAAACAAAATTAGCAGCTGAAGACAAACTCATACTGAGAAACTACAACTTGGGTATAATGGTGTATGACGAATATAATTTAGAGAACTATGAGGAGAGTGCTTTTCACTCACCTCATAGTTCTAGCCGACCTGTGACAATGAGACTGTCACAGGTCGGCTCAGTAGATCGGCAGGTGAGCGAACATATACCGGCGTTCGCTCACCTCTCGATCCTGTCACGGCTCTCTGTCGTGACAGGGGAGGGGCTGGATT